TACTCACTCAAAAGTTGTTTTAAACCTGAATGAGTTTCCTTCTTCTGCTAAACATAAACGCTATTTTGAAGAAGGTGGAAAACCAAACAGTTGTTGGTCCAGTGACTTGCATAGTATTTTTTTCCCCCTACTATCAAAGTCTATGTGGACAAGCAACTGTTTGGTTACCCAGATTCTTCAAAAGATCTTCTTTTGTGTTCAGCACAAGAAAGAAACGTTTAACCAGTAAGGCTTTAAAGCAGATGCAAAAAATATCTACTTTTGTGATTGTGAATAAGTGCAGTGTCCCGTGAGAGTAACTCTACCGCTGAGTTAACGCTGATGTTAATGTATATCGCGTTGTGCAGTATAATGATTCGGCGGCAACAGAACTGCAGCTGATAGAATGTGCGCTGTAGCACGATACAACGATATTTCTTCAAAAGCAGATCGTGGAGACATATCGTCCACAATCAAAAATCTTCATATCGCACACCCCTACTCTCGGCAGAAATCGCGGAACGGGGGCACGTAGACCGGACCGCAAGGGCACTTTAGCGTCGGACCTCAAAGGGGCAGGGGCTCGAGCCCCCCCACCCGTGCACGCCACTGGTCACGTACCCTGTATTTTTGACTTTCAAACATTTTTCTGCTTTTGATTCATGTCGAAGATGGTTGGATTTGTTTGAAATATCTATGAAGAAAATGAATGGGTAAAAAAAAATTAAAACACCAGGAACCAAAACTGCTAAAAAGTTGGTGGGTGTTCACTGTCCTCCATATGAAGTCAAACATTTCTCATCTAATTCTTCCAAGACCAACTGATCTGAGGCTTTGCTGTCCACATTAATTTTTCAGCTCTACACTTGTATATGTTTCAATAATTGTCTATTTTATTTATAAAAATAGATTTTAAGATTGTTTTCCAGTTTAAAAGATCTAGAAAAACCTTTAAACAAGGAGAAGTGAGACTTTTTTGAGAAGTGACATTTCATAGATATTAAGACTCTTATTAATATATTTTTGGTAGATTTTGTTTCACTTATTTTTAACTCGTTTATACCTGAAACAGGAAAAAATCTGCCAGTGTATTTAGACAAAATACACTCACAATAACTAAATATTCAATACGTCAGGCTTATATGGCTCATATAGTATGATATAGGAGAATATGGAGCTTATACTTGAGGTAAAACATTTCTCAGTTTAATTCAGAAGCCCAAACTGAGCAAAAATATGCAATTTGGAGCAGATATTTATATGCTCAAAAACTAAGATAAATTCTGGTTGCTTGTAATGTAAATCAATGAGATCGCGATAACAGTTTATTCATACTTATATAAAATGCATATAAACATTAGTTGTCATTCTGTATCTCCCAATAATATGTCAAAGCAAAATGATATTGAAATGCTTAATTTTTATGATCAAAGCCTTGTAGTTTTTATTTTATAGGGACAAACATATAATACAATGCAATACATGATGACTGATAGAATAAAAGATTTCTCTAAGAAATATTGTATGGAGAATCAAGTAATTCCCAGTTAGTGTTTATCTTGAAATATTACTAACAAAATAAAAGTTATTCTTATGTATACTCTTATGTAAAACTAAGTTTTTACAGCAAAAAGACACAGTTTTTAGAATGATACTAAAAGGCCTTTTACTGGCTAAAAAAAGTATAAACTATCAATCAGACGACAGAAGGCATGTAGTAGATAGTGTACAACAGGTTTTTCAGCAAGTTTTTGATCATGTTAATTTAGAGGCCTTCTGAAATTTGCATATCAAATATGACACAGTAGGCTTTAGAGGGACAAAAAGACACTGTTATTTCTCTGAAAACTAGTCTTAATATCTTACGCACTGCCACTTCTCAAGTAAATTAATCTTGTTTTAAGGATTTTTACAGATATTTTAACTGGGAAGCAAGTAAAAAAAAACGAATTAAAAACTTTTTGCACTATACTTGCATAAAACGTAACTGAGAACTTCATTAAGATTGCAGCATTATGCAACAGCAGCCTACATTCACAATTATACAACAGACACTTTTATTTAAAGTCACAAAGTAATTCCAAGCTATACATAGCATTAGTTCCCTGAGAACTGAATCCATGACCTTGATGTTGCAAGCGCCGTGCTCTACAGGAACCTCTGAGCTATAAGACTCATGCATGTCCTTCGTTCCCCTTTACTCGCTGAAATTAACGTCAGACTTTCTCCTTTACTGTAAATGTGCTGACTTCCCATTTACTAACGCACCCTCCTCCTTGTGTCCCTCTCTCTCCTCTTTGCTCTTTCGTTCCTTCCTGTCCTCCTTCTCCTTCTGTGCTTTCTCTCTTCCTTCAGAGCATAACCACCTGAATAATGTCACGCATCCTACTTTGAGTCCCGTAATGACTCTGTCCCAGCCTCACAACAACATGGGCTTCAACAAATACTCCTCTCTCAAGACCATGGGTAAGACACACACACAAACAGCTGTCACATCTTGTAATGCACACCATAAATGCCACACATGTTCATCAAGGTCACTTTATCCACAAACACTGATTACCATTGCAAATGATTCCCAGTGTCATTGACTGCAATGTAATCACATATGCAAATATCACCACTCAGATCAAGAGGAAAAAAACATGTTATTGCATGTAAATCACAGGTGGATGATCTCAGGAGCATGTACTGTACATATATGGATATGCTAATAATAGACATAAACACACACTATGTAGTGTGACCTTATCAATCACAGCATGACTCGAAACACAGAGGGGCCAAATCACTAAACAGCCACGCTAGTGTTTGTTCTTAGCACATTCCCTCCCGAGACACATAGAAATACACACTCGCTGAGAATTAGGGGCTGATGGGAAATCGGTTGAAATGTACTATGTTACATGAAATTAAGGAAAAATATACGCCATATGCTGCATGACCAAGAGCATAAAAACTCGAACAGACTCAAACACACTAAAGCTTATATCTTCATAGTGTATATGAACATACACTATTCTAATAACCTGGATGTACCAAAGGAAAAAATAAATAAAAATAAAAATAAATATATCAGTTCGTTTGGGGTTGGTCAGATTTTTTAAAATGTTTTTAAAAGAAGTCTATTGTGCTCACCAAGGCTGCATTTATTTGATCAAAAATACAGTAAAACAGTAATATTGTGAAGTATTACTACCATTTAAAATAGCTGTTTTCTATTGTAATTTAACATGTAATTTATTTCTGTGATGGTAAAGCTGAATTTTCAGCATCATTACTCCAGTCTTCAGTGTCACATTATCCTTCAGAAATCATATTAATATGCTAATATTTGCTGCTCCGGAAACATTTCTTTCTATTATTATTAATGTTATGAAAACAGTTTTTCCTGCATAATATTTTAAATATAATAATTTTTCTTTTCTGGATTTTTGATGAATAGAAAGTTCAGAGCAGCATTTATTTGAAATAGGCCTACCAAAATATAAATTTCTTTACATTAACTTGCATCCTTGCTGATTAAATGATGAGTGATATTTTTAAAGGGATAGTTCACCCAAAAAATGAAACTTATGTCATTAATTACTCACCCTCATGTCATTCCAAACCCGTAAGAACTTCAAATGAAGATATTTTTGATGAAATCCAAAAGCTTTCTGACCCTGCATAGACAGAAACAACTACCACGTTCAAGGCCAGAATGGTAGTAAGGACATTGTTAAAATAGTCCATGTGACATCAGTGGTTCAACTGTAATTTTATGAAGATACGAGAATACTTTTTGTGTGCAAAGAAAACAAAAATAACGGCTTCATTCAACAATTTCTTCTCTTCCGTGTCGACGTGCGTTCACGAGAGTACCACAAAGAATGCGTGTGCTGCTGCTGACGCAGGAGCTGGCATTCTGACGTAGAGCATGCGCTGCACCTTGTTTACGAGCAGAGGAAGGCATACACGTGTCGTGATACTCTCGTGAACAATGCAATACACAATGCATGTTGAGAAAGCTGTGTTGATAAGGATATATTTACAATTCAATTCACATACTATATAATTTCAAAATATAATTTCATAAATCAATAAGAAATTTATACATTTATGTAAGGAATTTTTGTAGAATGGAAAATTTGATTTTAAAATGAAGCCTATTTTTAGAACCTTTTCCATTTCCTTTTTTTTTTTTTTTTTTGAGGTTCTGGACAGTTTTATTAACATTCTTAAGATTGTATTACTGCATAGCTATTGTGGGATCTTACTAATATAAAACATATTATTCCTATTGCACATATTTAGCCCACATCAAAGAGATATGAGATGATAAAACACAAAGATGGAGAGGGATTTTTTTCCCCTTCAAACAATGTGTAGTTATATGGTACGTCCACGTACATGCAGTCTCTGGCATGGTGTCTACTGTTGGATTATTGCATTTGGAAAGCTTGAGATGGATCAGCCCTGACTGTGCTGGCAAAGAGATTGGATGGGGAGAGTTCAGCAGGGCAAGTGGAGGGAAAGATGAGAGGATGATGGGAGAAAAGAAGGAGGAACATGCGCGTGGGGAGAGGGTGTAATGAATAGGGTCGGAGCCAACTTGTGGCAGGTGCCTAAGACAGCTTCCCAAGCACCATCTTAATTAAAGAATAACGTTTGGAAACAGATGGCCAGATATAGAGAGAGGCAAACTAAATTAAACAGAGAAAGTTGTGAGGAAAGAAACAAAGAGAAAGGCGAAGAAGGAGTTATAAGAAAGATAAGAGAAATAGTACTTGTGGTAAAGAGGGGAAGAGGCAGTAAGAAAGGAAGAAAAGACATGGACAGAGAGGCTGCTGGTACATTTACCGTCTGTTCATTAGTTAGATACATATGTTCACTCTCTAAGCATTTCCTGTGTCTGACATCATCAGGCCGTTATGTCATGTTCTCTCCTGTTGCAGTGCCTGAATGTCCCTGAGGACCACACACACACGTTTTTCTATCATGATTAAGACTTTTTATTGACTGCTGTTTTATTTATACTGAGGAAATTATGTGTTCAGTATCCTATCTGAACACATCTGCTGTAAATGATAACATCACATACTTAACATCCTATACTTAAGGTAATTGCTAAAGACCAGACCTTGGCACTAAAATAAAACTTTTTGCAGTGATAAAGTAAAAATGAAATATCCCTAGATGCCCACAAAAGGAGGTTTTGTCAGATTTATCAAACCTTACTATTATGCAAAGTTGTGAGAAGGTGCAAAAATAAATAAAAATAAATAAAATAAAATATGGTTTGATACATTTTTTAATTTTCTATGCTTATTCAAAATGGTCAATTTTCTGGTTTAGCCTATAATTCAAAGTCTGTGTGCAGTTGTGTAATTGTGCAGTACTCTTTTTCAGGCTAGCTGTGTGTATATGGCATAAGTGTGTGTGTGTGCTCGTGTGTTAAATCTGTTCGTCTCTTGCTCATTATCAGGGTAATACGTCTCGGTGTCCTTCTCTTTAAACACACTCCCTAAATAATTCATGCCCACTCAACGCACACTGCCCACATTACCTATTCACTGGACCTTCACTGGAAGTCGACTGAATTGTGATTCTTTAGATCCTCTCTTCTCCTTTAAATTCAAATCAAAACACTCCTGAATTAAAAAGCACATGAATGCGCTAAAGGATGTGCACACTTAAAAACATAATATGAGCTAATCTGCATGTCTAACCGCATTAGCAAATTACTGCTTGATTTATTATCTACAGGAACAAATTAACATCTTCATTTGGGTAAATTTTGTCATATTTCTAAACACAGGTTTTGTCACTTCTTCAAACACATAGTGCTGAGACATGGCTTTGGCCCTCAGCATGCTGCAACATCCCTAAAATCCCTTCAGGTTTCATTTTGACCTTCTAAGCTGATTGTAATACTAACCGACATTCGCTCATGCACGACTACAAAGAGTGAGCGCGTCCATACTGATGTGGTCAAAAAGAATCATAACAGTAGCTGCTAATGCCAAGTTACCACAGTTTTACTTTAGTGACTACAGTATTTTGCCAGAAACAATGATTAACATCGGGCCAGGATATATACGTTTGAGATCACATACATTGAAATTATGCTAGATGCTTCTGTCAGCAGGTATTCCCCTCATGCGTTAGCCGTGACTCAGTCGATAGTGAGAAAGGACAGTATTGGAAGTCAGAATGGAAAACAAGAAAAAGGAGACAAAAATGACAAAACAGTGAAGCAAGGTTGTTTAAGTCTGAGGGCAGTGAAGCGAGTGGCCTGTCTATAGCTTGCAGCACTCAGTGGAGATGGGCTAATTTGACGAGAAAGGCTAAAAGGCTAACTCTACTCTGTCAACTGTTGCTAACATGCTAACCCACTTCAATCTGCAAAAGAATAAAATAACCAGCCAATTTTATACAGTTTACAACCCTAACTGGCATCTATCACATAAGTAGCTAACTTTTACCAAGCCACTGTAAATATCACTAATCAAAATATTACACACATTAGTGCATAATAATTATAGTCCTGCAGTTATAATTGCAGTTTATGTAGTGAGACCACCATAGTAAACATCAGGTAAAACTATGGATCGTTGCTCCCAGCAAGTATAAAACATTTTAAAGTATTGCCTTTTGGTTGCAGTTGGGTAATGCTGCAGTACAACGTTTTAAAAACATTCTAGAAACTGCCTGGTAGGTTGTCCTTGTACCTCAAAAGTTTCAATATAACATATTTTAACCATACAAACAACCAGATCAAACTGCAAACCATTCTACTGTCTCCTTTCAACTTATCACCTCTTCACTGGATATTTCTTGCATTGATCCTTTCAAACAGAGTCTGGCCTCAGGACACATACAGAATAATTCATATTTCATCATGACCATGATGTGAACAGCCACAGCTCCCTCAAGTCAATGTATGTATGTGCATGCATGCATGTGTGTGGCGTGGCGTGACGTGACGTAAAAAAGAGCCGAGGGCATCCTCATGTCGCACTTGATGACCCTCCGCTCCAGGTGTTTTACTCATAAGATCCTCTAAACACTAAATATAGCAACTATAGTCTGAGAGAAATACATTAGGTTTGTACACCACATACTGTAGGTTATGTGAGTGTAGAAGCAACACTATTAAATGAATCTATTGCATATTTGTCACAATGTCATGTTGTATTTTAGCCTCTATATTTCTAAATGTTCGTTTTTCACTGCCCTTTTTTTCACTGCAGATACTACAGCAAGGGATTACTACCCCAAGAGCTACCCCATGATGGATTACGCACACCGCCAATCCTCGCCAGCAACCTTCCAGCCCATTGCTTTCCACCTAAAAGATAAACACTTTCTTCCCCCTCCGGACATCCATGCTCCTTTGGCCATTACCATTACATCAGCTCAAGTCCCCAAGTCCAAGATCTCCAAGACTAACACCCACCCACTCACCTCGAGCTCAGCCTTCAAAGTTTGGGACCCCAACAAGAGCCATGTCCAACACCAGGTCCCTTTCATGATGCAGCCACAGCCACCACTGTCCCAACCAAACAGTCGGTGCCAGGCCTTCTCCAACAAGCGTCAGTTTAGCATCGAGACTCTTCCAGAGTTGTTCACTCAGCCTCTGGGGTACGGACAGTCTCCGCACCTCCACCCAAAACACAAGGGACTGCCCACAAACAGCAAAACGGAAGTGACGGTCTGAGGGGAAAGCCTGAAAAGGATGCAAACACAAGAAAGCATGATTACGATTAGACAACCGGATTTGAAAGCTTCTGCACATGTGCTTCAGTTATATTTATAGTATATTTCTTCCTTGTATTCGTTTTGGACTAGATTTATTTTCATTGTACAACAATACACAGAACTTAAGGGGAAAACGTTGCATGGTCTTGATTCTGATTCTTCATGGGCCTTGAATCCCTGGTGATCCTACCTCCCCTCTAAAATTCTGGCCTGTTGTTCTTGTACTGCTGGCCTTCAGATGTCTCTTGTGGACCAGACCCATGTGTCCGATAGCAAAGGGCAGGAGCCTTGCACCTCAGGAGCCTTCACACCCTTCTGGATAAGTCCATTGTGCTGTCAACTTCCATCAGCCAAGTGCTACCACACAGTGAAATATTTTTCCGACAATTCTAGACCACTGAGGATAAAGAACAGCGAGGAAGCATACGGAAGAGGACAGTGAAGAAACCAAGGTGCCCTGTGAGAGGGAAAGAGACTGTCAAGTGTTGTGATGTTTTAAGAGTTTGTTATTTCAGTCAGCGGATAAGGGTCTAGGTGAATTTGGCAAAGTCCAATGTCCCTAGGACTCTTTACCTCAACACCTTCATCAAAGGATGCATTCCAGCAATTATCCAGGGAGCGGACTGCCAATATCACTTCAAGTCATAGCTATTCTGGCTGTTTCTATTTCAAACTCTTGTTTGAGACACAGCACAGGTAAAGACAAGGTCGATAAGCAAGTCTCTATTACAGACAGACCTCAAGAGAGACATTTCAGGGGACGACAGTCGCCTGCAGAGATGAGGTGCCATACTGACTGAGGAGCACACGTCTAGGTGAACAAATCCGGCAATGTCATAAGTAGCACTGCCAAAACAACTTTGCTAAATTGACCCATGTGTATTCTTTGCAATATCTGTCAAACAGCCTGCTTCCTTTGAATACTTCTGAATGTAGATAATTATCCTTTTTGTGAAAGCAAGAACCTATTAGATTGATGATTCAATGACAAAATCTGGCATGTTGCAGCAATACCTACACCCTATTGTAGCATCCTAATGCACATGGCATGGGAAACCACTAAATCTGGTGGTGGGCATCAGTTGAAGTGAAGTTGTGGGCATCAAGTGAAGGTCTGAGAGTTTAGGTTTCTTGGGAGTTGCTCAAGAGACCAACGAAAATGGTAGCAATACTAGGCCTGTCTGTCCTCTCCTGCCTGGGGCCAAATGACTGATGGACACAGCTGTCAAACTCACTCACTCTCTGCTGTTCCAAGCTGTTTCCAGCCAGGCGTTTGGCTGCCACACTGCCACAGAACACCAGGGGGCGCTGTAATTGATGACGGCTTGGTTCTAATTCAGCAGATCCAAAATATGTTCTCCATAACTGCCTGTAGACATGTTTTTTTTTTTTCTCATCTGTCTTATCTTTTTTCATTCACAATGGATCCGAATGGAGATATATGGTTCTTGCTCAAAGACAAAAGGCGAGACTACAAAACAAAATTTAGTTTTTTTTTATGCACCAATTTAAAGGAGACCTGCAGAGATGTCTGATGGTGACCTCTTGTTTCTTTACACAACAATAAAGCATCTGTTTACCAAGCAAACAGTTGTGTCTAAAAAGTAGCACACTTTGTTTGAACAGCCTTGTGAGTTTTTACGGGCCAATGACATCTAATGTACAAGCCACCTAGGGACTATAAAAGAGTGTGAAATGTTCAATGGAACTGCTGCTTAGGGCTGCTTGCAAATAAAACGCCAGTATTGCGAGAAGCAGAGAAGGATTATTGAACTCGGAAGGAAGAGGCAACACACTTGTAAAGGTACAAAGCATTCCTTTCTAAACACTAGATTGCATTAAAGTCATTGAAGCACATGTTACGGCAGTTGGGTCTGTAATGAACTATAAAGAAACAACGAAAAAGAAAGAAACAAGTAACTCTCTCTCTCTCTCTCTCTTTATATCCTCACCAGCTTCATTTTGGAAATCATTTCTACTTCTGGACCAACTCCAGGGACAGCAGTTCCAAAAATGTGACAACAAATACAGTTACAGCATGTTCCTGGATGGCTATTTTCAACCGTTGAATTGATGTGAGGATGTATCAACATGCTCTCATGGGTCTGCATCGAGTCAAATTATCCTGAGCTACAGTGGTGCTTCGTTCTGTTTCAGTGGCAATGGCTCCAGGGTGTCATTGGGTTTCAGGGGTAAACCCTGGAGGACAGACACGGCTGTCAGACTCTCCTGGCACAGAGATGTCAAGCGATGCCAAGGTGAGCCAGCTACACAGCCTTCTGCCTGAAATGGAGCCACTTTGTCAGCCAGGAGGTCATGAAGTCTGTCTATGAGTAATGCCGGAAAAGAGCAGAGCAGGGCAGATTTAGCTTTTAACAAAACCACAGTGATAAGGTCTCTGGCTGTATCAGCTTAAACCCTGAATCAAATGAGGACTAACGTCTGGACTTAAACTTTTTATTTGACATTAACTCAATAAAGCACTGGATTGGTCAATTAATTACTTAATTCCACAGGTTAAGGACGATAAAGGGAAATCAAAAGAGGTTGAGTGCATTCATCTGTTACAAAGAAACACAAGGTGTAAATATCTGCTTTCGAATTCCTTCTGTGGGAAATCTCGTTTCCAGTGGTTATTTTAAACCACCCAAATAAGCTGAATGACTGTTGTTTCTGACTTCTTCTTAAAACGAAAGTGTTCTACCTGTGATGTGAATGCCACTGGGTAGCATTTTATCTTTAGCAATACATGATGTACTTTTTACTGTTTATGTACTATTTGCAATTTCGTCTTTTTTGTATCGTAAGCGTAATTGGAATCAAAGTCGAGCCTGCCGCAGGTGACAACCATTTGACGGAGATGAAGTGCTTCCGAATTTTAACACCCTTCTCACCTTCCTTACTAACTTAAAATTATGTCTTGCCATATTTAAAGCTTGCGCTATATGTATAAACCAATGCTTTATTTAATCATTTTTAAAAGACATATTATAACCTATGCTTAAATGGCATGTTAGTTGCCAGTCCAGAGACATGTAATATGTATATTGGAGATTCACATTGTTCCCATTTGTTTGGTGGCTCCATTCGTTTGGTAGAACGTTTGACCGATCTAATCTTATGCACTATTCTAAGCTGTACCTTTTGTGTATGTATAATTAGGATGAATTCTACTAAGGGCTTTTAAAGATGTACGTGCTCTTAACAGGAGTTGCCCCGTGTCGAACATGGAAAGGGTTTTCCCCAATGCAATGACAGAATACACGTAAGGGTTTGCGAAAGCGATGCTCCGTCCTGCAATCAAAAGTCAGGGAAAGTTTTTGCTTTTGCTACAACACACTCTTGGTTTGTGTATTACTGTCCATCACAAAGCAAAAAAGATGTTCCCTCCTTGAGAAAACAGGACTTTTCTTGTTTGAACCCTGAAAAGATATGCAAAAACGTGTTAAGGACATATGAGAGCTCATTACAGAAGCAAAAAAAAAACAAAAAAGACAACTGCTCTAAGTTTGAACTTACCAGCATTAAAGGAAATCCAAAGCCAGCTACAGCAATGCAGGTTGATCCTAATTAAAAGTCACTGGTTACATCATTGATAAAGAGAACGACAGGAAGACTAATTAGGCTTGTCTGTTGACTTAAACAAGGCCAGATTTTTACAGCAACACTAGCATTGAGAAATATCTCCCATCACATTTGTGTTTACTGATGTTTACTGATTATATATGCCTGTTTATTCATACATCAGGGTTAAAAGAGCAAAAAGTGAAATATATAAATATTGTGTAAAAATGTATGTATATGATGTGAAAATAAAGCAGCATTAGTTCACAGCCTTTCACAAATACACACACACTAAAACTGAGGATTTAACATTGTAAACAGTGTTTTGTGTAAGTTTCCCAAAGGCTTTTCTGAGTGCAGCCAGCTCACATTACCCTGTGTCCTAACTACGTGTGATGCGACACATTTCCAAGTAATTTGTTTGTCCAAAACGCCATGTAAACACAGCAGTGACATCCTGGTTTCTGGAAATATTATTTCCAAATGGTAAAATGGTAAAAATAAAAAAAAAGAGAAAAAAAAAGCATTGAACCAAATGGCTCTGAGATAAATCATTCAGTCAACATTTAATATGAAGCTAAAAATTATTTAAAATTTTAAAATGGAGAAAAAGAGGCTATACTTTCTTTTAAAGTGATTAAGTTCTCATACCAAGAAGCATTGCAAATGATGTAATAAAATCAGCATTCAGCAAACAGTATAGAAATGTACTTCCTGTTGTGCTCTAGCAGGATTTTGGACCAGTAAGATTTAACTGTGGGCGGGGCTACCCAACACAGTGCTATAACAGAAGTCATGCCTGGTTAGGACACAGTTGTTCACTTGCTGAGATATAAAATAGCCCTGTGTACCCTTTCCCCCCTTTTATGCACAGCTCTATGTCATCAGCATTCACTCTCTCTTTTTTCCACATCCTAGCTTCCTCTTCTGACTCCTCAAGGCAATGCATGTTCACACTGACTGTGATTAAACTGTTGGAGGTCAGAGTCTGCATTCTTAATGGTAGTTGCCATATTACATGGTTTATTTACATTACATTGACCTGTACGTTACCTTAACTTTGTTGCATCAATAGTTGTTGTCATTTGTGCCACCCAGAAATAAAAAGGAAAAAAGCACTGTCAGTGTGTACGTTCAGTCACCTTTCATCTTTATCGTCTTCAAACTGACATAAATGTACACACAGGGCCTGTAGAGGGGTGTAAGAAGTACTGAAAAAGTATACTTTAATATGGGTATTGTAAGAACATTTTACTTTATTAGCCAAAATATACTTTAAAATATACTCAAGGGAAAGAAAAAAAATCTGTATTTACATTAATCAAAAAAACAAATAAAATTTTTTTCTTGAGCACCAGAGCACCAATTAGAATGATTTCTGAAGGACCATGTGACACTGAAGACTGGAGTAATGATGCTGAAAATTCAGCTTTACCATCACAGGAATAAATGACATTTGAAATAAATACATTTATATATAAGAATTATTACTGCATTTTTAATCAAATAAATGCATCCTTGGTGAGCAAAAGAGATCTTACCTTTGAAGAGTAGTGTAATTGTACTTAAAATATGTTTTCTTAGCTTTTGAAATAGATGAAATGAGACTTTGTTGTTAACTTTGGTGCAAAGCAACCTATTTAACCGCAGTTGTCCTCAATATCCCAAATATATAAGACTCTATATGTCTAAACTAAAATCATTTTGCTGAAATGTGAACTGTGCATTGCGCAGATTGAACATGCTGAGTCAAATTCATCTTCATCAATGGTTATAATATAGACACATGCTGTGGTGACTGATGAGACATCTCTTCACAAGGATAAATGAACATAGTTTGGCTAATTACAGTATAGTTTGCATTGAAATGGATTTTATTGATTGTTTCTTAAAGGGGTCATATGATGCTGCTAAAAAGAACATTATTTTAAAAGTTACGTCTTCTTTCTTTGCGTGAACATTTGGGCGGCGTTATGCAAATCTTCCCACATAGTGACGAAGACATGTGGGGGCGTGTTAGAACGAGCCGTTTTAGGTAGGAGTGGTTAACTCTTAACTTTTATAAAGAATATCTCTTTGGATTTGAGACTTTAGTCTTTGCAACTTTACAGATCTTCTTTATGCACCAAGAGCGTGTAACACCCAAAGAGAAAGGAAAAATTTAAATCGCATCATATGACCCCTTTAAGATTCTCTGACTGTGATATGCCTTTTTAGTTCAATTAAGCAGACAAAATGATACATTCTCAATAATAGGACATATGAATGGAGATGATGACTAATTCAAATATACTTTATACTAGTACTTTGAACATGTAAGTGAAAGAACACTAGAACACTTCCCAGAACACTACTTTTGTGATGAAGCACACACAATATTTCAATACTTTATACTGTTGCCTACAGAATCCCTTGCAGAAACTGATTTTTAAACCTCAATTTCTGCACCATCGCACACTTTGACAGTTTCATTGATTATAAACTAGTTTTGTCACGTCACTCACTTGCAGTGTGGACCCGATATTACTGAAGTCTCTCTCTTTCTCTCCTTGCTTTTCTCTCTCTGTCACTGTCTCGTTTGTGTTTGTTGCTCCATTTCTCTCTCTCTCTCTCTCTCTCTCTCTCTATCTATTTCGTCGGGACGGTAGGAGGCGTAAGTCTTAGCTGTCATTGATATCTCAGTTAATATGGGTCTCCTAAAGCTGGGGAGAGAGAGAAATGGAGGATAATACAGCACATGATGATGAAGAGCTGTGGGTGGAAAGAGGAGATCTGTCATCCTATCCTCTCGTTTCCATGTACTTCATCTCTTTTGCTTGTCTAATGCCCCATTTCCATATCTGCCATGCTTTTTTTCCCCCTTAAGTCTGGTTGCACTTTGAGGAGACGCTGAATAATTCAGAGAAATAAAATTTACAGGACAGTGAAAGGGAGAGAAACACAGAGCTGTAGAGAACACATAAGAGACTGGAGATTCAAAAGTCAAGCTGAAATGCACCTGTTTGAGAAGAACCACAGTTTATAGTCGTGCAAGTGTGTGCTGTAAGTTGTATGTTTTTAATAGACATTTATGAACCGTTTCAAAGGTCAGTGTCTAGGAAGGTTTGGTTTTTGACTCTAATATTCCTTTACAGATTAACAGAGCATTGGCTACTGAGATCATCTAATAATAAAAACAACAAATCCCATGATTCCCATGAACTGTTTCATGAGTGAAACAATTGTTGTAACCATCATGCAGGAAGAGATTTGTAATGTTTTTTGTTAGGTTGGCATGAGAATAACCTTATTCAATAAATAATGATTATTATTCTGAAACCAATTTTCACTATAAGCAATGAAATGACTGAACATATGGTGGAACAAATTTGATGTTAATGATGACAAGGGCAATGATGATGCTGATGCTGATGGCAGCAGTAACCATGCCGACACAACAGTAAAGAAAATGCCAACTGTTTCTACGACACTAGTTGTAATTTCTAAGGAACATACGGACATGGTCCGACTGATTTGATGGCTTTTTAAGCATCTGTTTATAACAGAAACAATGTTAAGTGTTCTTTGTATAAACTTGTTTAAAAAAATTTAATAAAAGGCAGAGTGAAACACTCCTCTGGACTGAGTCTGATTAATGATGTCACATGGGGATCTGTCAGTCTGATCTCTGCTGTCTGTTATTTCTGGGGAAATCTACTACAAAAAATATCATTTAACATATTCATATTGCATAAATGAGAGTGTATACTGTTAGAGAACTATATAAAAAGCATTGAGATATTATGTTATTCACTCGCTGCAAAGGAACCTGTAGCAGTTTAGTCCCATATAACCTGACTTTCAATGATGGGAACAAAATCTGGTTCAGTTTACAGCTTTTTGGGTCAAAAACCGCCCACTTAGACAGAAAAATGGTATCTGTCTGACATGTAAAAATTTTGGTAACACTTTCTATGAAGCCCATATTTAAAATACATTATAGGAGTATATTCTTAAGGCATTATAATTAATGCATAATGTATTATAAAAAAACGTATGATGATTATTATGATGATTTATAATACACAATGAACACAATGCACCCATTTAACTTACAATGGATTATATTTCCCATAGTTATAATGTATTATAAGTCTCAGATCTTGCCATTGTTAACTTGTTACTTTACTTAAAACAGACAAAGGCCACTTCTAAATAACAACAACGACAACAACAATAATAATAAAAATTATATTTTTTCTTAAACAGCCATAAGATCAGATATTTGATCACATGAATGTGTAATATGGCACATTTGCGTTTAACCATATTTAATGTAATATCAGTAAGATATTGTACAGATCTTAAATAAATAATGTCAAGATATGAGACTTATAATATATTATAAATTAATTGGATTTAACATGGTGTTTATGGCGTGTTATAAATAATCATACTCAGAAAAGTTATAACCACAAATAAGTAAGTTTTATAATGTACTATAATTGTCGTTATGATTATTTATGAGATGAAACAACATATTATGTTTTTTATAATGCATTATGCATTCATTATAATGCCTTAAGAATACTCTTATAATGTGCTATAAAAATGGGCTTCATAGAAAGTGTTAGAGTGTTAGAAAAATTAAGGAATCATTAAATTGGAAATAAATCAATTCTTTAGCATTACTTTATACATTCAGTATCATGAAC